GTTTTAGTTTTTAGGGTTTAGGGTTTGTTAAGCTGACCAGTGGGCACATCAAAGTAACCAATAAGCTGAGAGGAGAAGAGCCCCCCTTTAAAGTTAGGAAATCCAGAGGAGATGATCTCTTCTGTGCGGCTCGTCACTTCTGGTATATGTATAAGCGGTTCTGGCTGTGAGCAGCAGTTGCGGCTTATGCCCAGAGTAAAATTCTCATCAGAGACAACACTCGTCAACTGCCCCGCCAGTGATACAGCCAAACGCAACATCTTATAGTATACTCGCATTGGAACCTGCATGCAACACATAAAAAAATCAGTTGTAACGCAGAGACAGAGGTAAAGACAGATATAAACAAACTAATATATATATATATATATATATATANATATATATATATATATATATATATACATTTGCATATATATAAAATATACCGCCGGATAAGATGTAGCAATGCACAGAGAGACAACAGAGCGAGAATGCATCGAGACAAAGACTGAAAAAGGAGCTGATAGCAATAAGAAATAAGAGCAGCAAGCGAAAGCATCCGCAGGAGACAGTAGCAGCAGAAGACAGTAGCAGGAGGAGACCGTAGCAGCAGGAGATAGGAGCAGCAGGCCTCGGAGTCCTCGTTGTATGTACCTACCTGATGGTTATTTATATTGTGTTGTAATTTGTATTGATGTAATTCTTTGGGTGGTATAAAGGGGCAGACTCTGAGGACATTGTGAATATTACTGAGATCAGGGGGGACCTTGATACTGCTAGATGTAAAGTGGGGGCCCCCTGAGGCCCCCTCCTCCGGTACATACACCTGAACTCTCTTTTCATCTACATCCCGCGGTGTCTGTCCAAATATCATTGCCTTGCCTATCACCAGCATGCAACCATTTGCAGCCCCAGAAGTTGAAAATACGCGAGATGTAGGAAAGTCAGAAAATAATGCAAACAAACCCCAAGGATANCAGCCCCAGAAGTTGAAAATACGCGAGATGTAGGAAAGTCAGAAAATAATGCAAACAAACCCCAAGGATAGAACTGAACCTGAACAGATAGTGCAGCAGCAGCAACAACAACAACAGCAGCAGCAGATACAGCAGATGCAGCAGTTTGCTGCAGCAGCAGCAGATGCAGCAGATGCTGCAGCGGCAGCAGTTGCAGCAGTTGCAGCAGCAGCAGCAACAGCATTTGCAGTAGTTGAAACAGTTGGAGCCGCAGCAGCAGCAGTTGCAGCAGTTACTGCAACAGCAGAAGCCCCAGCAATCAACGCAAGCCAACCAAAAGGAGAAAACTGCACTGTGACACACAATGCAGCAGCAGCAACGCCAGCAGCTGCAGCTGCAGCAGCGACAGAAGGCCAAACCCCGATGAGCCAAACATCACAACTACAAACTTGAATAAGCGAGACAACATACAAGGGGCTTGCAAACCCTTCTGTCCTCTCCACTTAATCGTAAGGAGTGCGGATGAGGGCTAGGGCTTAGGGTTTAGGGTTTAGGGTTTAAGGTTCAATTGTACAGATCGTATGTAAAACCTCCGAACCCATGCGCCACCCGTAAACCCTCGACTTCAAACCCTAAGCTCAAAACCCTAAACCCCAAACCCTCGCGTGACTGAACCCACCTCTTTGATAGAGCGAGCGAAGATGCCTGAGCAGATGGCAACGAGAGGAGACTGAAAGGAAGAGGAGCGAGAGACAGCTGATGTGAAGGGCCACGAGGGGACAAGGATATGGCCGTGGGGATGCACACAAACCATAGAAGCCCCCATGAAGCTGTTACAGCTTTTAAGGCGGCAGCGGAGAATACGATGCGGGGGCACCTGAATCCCTTGTTTCTGCAGCAGTCGTTGGTCCTCAGAAGACCCCTTCAATGCTGCTGCTGTAGCTGCTGCTTTTTCTATCTCTCTTACTAACATACAATCAGCTATAGCTGCAGCAGCTGCAGCAGATGCAGCTGCAGCAGCTGCTGCTGCAGAAGGAGGAGCATCAGGAGGAACAATAAGGGGCGTGTACCNGCAGATGCAGCTGCAGCAGCTGCTGCTGCAGAAGGAGGAGCATCAGGAGGAACAATAAGGGGCGTGTACCCATGTGCACCCGCAGCCTGTGATCCCTGAGGGCGCCCATAGGGCCCTCCAATACCACCTGGATACCCTGAGGCCCCTGGGGGCCCCCATACTGGCTCGAACTCAGTAGCGTCGCAGTGCGCTGAGTTGTTTGTTCGTTTGTGCCACTGAACACTGTTCCAGGGTATCCCACTGAGGTGTATATCGAGGTATTCGTTATTATTTAGGAGGAGTAACCATTGCAGTTCATCAACACGAAATGCTGTTGGGTTTCTTATAATAAGAGTTTCATATTCTTCTGCTGTCTGTACATGAGGATATAAACAACCATCAACAGCTATTAATAGCTTACCTCGCTCCCTATCTATACATAAATGAAAAGGTGAACAACTGAAAAACTCCATACGCTTCAGCTCAGGCTCACATGTATCCTCAAGGGGGCTCAATGGGGGCCCCCCAGAGGGGCCTCCATCAGGTGGGGCCGCAGAAGGTGGCGACCCAGATGACCCCTGCGAACCCACCGGCCCCGAAACCCCAGCAGAGGCAACGCCAGAAGCAACAGGAGAACGAACTGGGTGACACCCAGAGCCAGTGCTGTGGGGAGAGGCAGATAGAGGGGCCCCTACTACCGCCCGTGGACGCCGCTGCGAACCCCCCACAGATGCAGGGGAAGAAGAAGATTGGGTCTGCTGCTGCTGCTGCTGCTGCTGCTGCTGCTGCTG